TTTTACAGAGCTCCAGATATGCTTTTGGGCCATGTGGGTATGACACCCATACTTTTGAAACTAAGTGGATATTTCCAAATTTCAAGCGGGTATCTATACTTTTAGACACCCACCATTTTTTTTAAATCTGGGTATTTATTTCAAATAACAAGTTAAAGAGGTGCAACATTTTCTCATCTCGATAATGGAGATAATACAAGATCCTCCAGATTAAAGATGAATAACAAATAATACTAAATTATAGCTAATAGCTAATACAGCTTTATCCACTCGTACTGTAAGAAATATGATGTGCCTTAGTCTACATCTGTTTTGGTGCCGCGAACAGCTATAGTGTTACAAGTTCATTTAAGATATCACCGCCAATTGAATCTGATTGTGAAACACAGCACTTGCCTATTAATTCATCTAGCAGTCCTCTAATGAAATAGTTTTCTGTTTGTAGCGTAAAAAAACTAGATATTTTATTTTGAGTGTGTTTAATTCACAATTCAATTCAATTCTTTTTTTTCTCATAAACCACCTTGGTGGTACAAGAGCATATATTGTAAACATATATACAAATACAAATTCAAATTCAAGATGGAAGTAAACAACATATTAAACATTTTTTCTGACAAGAGATGATAGATGTAGGATATATTTTGATAGATTTACTATGTCTCGAGATGTTTTTACAGATACTATTTTCGTGAACTTTGTTTTATTGGGAAAAAGGTTAGATGGGAGGGTAAATATTGTTTCCCTCAAATTATCTAATGCTTTGCAATGAAAAATATAATGATATTCATCTGCAATGCTTTTAGAAGTGCATAGTTGACACGTTCTCTCGTCCCTTGGAATATTATACCAGCAGCCCGTCTCAATAGGTAAACTATGGTTACATGTTCTAAATCTCAATAATGGTAAAGAAATGCGTTTTGGAAGGAGGAGATATACATCAAAATTGGGAAATGGCTTTAGGTGCTGATAGTGTATTCCTCTGGGTCTAGAAATAATGTCATTGTGCCAGTTTTGGATAAATTGATCTTTGAGAATATGTTCAACTTTTGAGACCAGCCACTGGGTAGTACAAATTGAGGGATTTTCAAAACATACGAAAGTAAGCTTTCGACAACGCTTGCTCGACATTAGCAATTGTTGATCAGCCGATGTTTCAGGAGTATTGGGCATCCATCCTTCTACTATTTGCAAATTTTGAAAAGATATCGAGAACGTGAAAAATATCGAAAACAGACGTCATTCTGGTAGACCTGCAAAAATCTTAGCACGGGGAGTAATCAACTTTCGAGGATCGTTAAAGTTAATCGCCGGAAATCTTTGGAGGATATTACTAACATTTTTAATCAGTCTGTGCCACAACCTGTTTCCAAAAGAACTGTTCAAAGAAATTTACATTCACTGGGGTTTGTTCACCTAACTGTTTGCAAAAGCCGGGAAAACGAGAGTCAACTGGAAAAATCGTGTGCATGGTGAAGAGGGAAAATTCGTTGGACTGTTGATAGGGACTGGAAAAAGGTCATCTTTACCGATGAAATGACTATTGTTGCTAAACCTGATGGAAACTGCCATCAAGGTATATACTGTCACCTTTATATAGTACTAAGACCCCGTCCAGTGAAAGTATATACCTTGATGGCAGTTTTTGGCGTCACAATACCCCTGTGGTTAAACCAGATGGAAGAGTTAAAGTGTGGCGAAAGCGATCAGAAAGATGGAGGGGCGAGTGTCTCGGGTATTTCACTCAGGGAATAGGGCGGTCTATGAAGTTGATGATGTGGGGGTGCATTACGTATTACGGTGTTGGGTGTTTGGTGTTTGTCGATGGAAACATGAACAGTGCTAAGTATATTGATACACTTGACAACTTTTTGTGGCCTGTTGTTGTAAAGCATTCCCTTGACAAACCATGGCTGTTTTAAGATGATAATGCACCGATGCATCGGTCCCGTGAGACGGAAACATGGAAACGCAGGAATGACATTCCTCAGCTACCATGGCCAGCACAGAGTCCAGATTTGAACCCAATCGAAAATGTTTGGCTTGTTTTGAAAAATAATGTGAAAAAAAACCCATTTCTACGATCACGGGACTGGGAGACTTGAGAGAGTGTCTCCAGTCCGCTTGGGATGATCTGCCTCTTTTTTGCATTCAGAGACTGTATGGGTCGCTACCTAAGCGTTTACGACAAGTACTAATCTCAAAGGGACACATAACAAAATATTAAAGCAACAGGACACCGATAAGGTAAGTAACACGTTCTTTATTATCCATAACCGGACGGGACCGAAATGTCTGCCATCTTGAAAATTGAAACAATTTTGGCACATGAGTGTAGTTACTAACGATTAGTAAACTTGGCAATCAAGACGAGGGTATATCGACACTGACAGATTACAGACTTTGGACGGCTCTTGCATGTAGTCTTAACTTTCAACACACGATGCTTATTGGCTTACCGGGCAGTGGGGTAGCCTAGTGGTTAAAGCGTTGGCTCGTCGCGCAGAAGACCTGGGTTCGATTCCCCACATGGGTACAATGTGTGAAGCCCATTTCTGGTGTCTCCCGCAGTGATATTGCTGGAATATTGCGTAAACCCATACTCACTCACTCACTCACTTATTAGTTTACACATTGGAAATGAAGGTTAGAGTGTAAACGCACTTAATGAAATACCGCATATCAGGCCAATCAATGAAGTAGTGGTGTGTTGTATAGTCGTTTCCGCAACACCAACGTAGCACCACCACAATACAGTCTACAAGTACCATTCATAAAACTTGGAATGCTTCATTTTCTGTGTGTAAATGTCATTGAAGTATTTTGTCTGGGCATCGGTGAACCAGTTCTTCCAGTCACCAGTGATTCCTGAAATAGTGATTAAATTAGTGCTCGTGGTTATCACATTATTATATATAGGGTTAAATTCACAGTTATTAGTTACAGTCGTTACCGTCGTTACGGTCGTTACAGTCGAATGAATCATGGACGTATTAAGATGTTGAGATTTGAAACCCCTGACTGTCCAATCAGAACCGTGTATCTTGATCTCCAAGAGTTTCACAGATTTTCAGCGACCGGCCAGATGTATATGAAGCAGTGGTGCCATCTAAGACCTATGATAAACACACAATTGCCTTTACCTTTTCTGTAGTGGATGGCGTCACCATCACGTTTCTCAGCATTATCTCCCTTTGTCGTCTTCATTTTCGTGAAGTCGGATTGTACAGCTATGTCTCGGACAAGCTGATCCGGACAGTCTATATTTAGAAATTCCGAAATGCTTTTGATCACACGGACAGGATCCTGAAATAAATCAAACACCCACATATAACCGACTCAATTCGATACAATAACTTTTTTGTGATAAATAAAAAAGTGACAGATCATTAACAGCTCCAGTATGGATGTGGAAAGGGTTTAGCCGCTTAGATTTCGAAGGAAATTCTACAGGGCGTAAAACATCGGTTACATTTATTTGAATGCATTACTGAAAATCAGTGATATCACCTGCTTAACAGTAGCATCACCGCTTCACCGATTGGCATGAGCTAAAAGAAACCAACAAAAACCAACAAAACCAAACCAAAAAACAAAAAGAACAAAAAACCAAAACCAAACACAAGGAAGCACTAGCACGTGTTAAGAACCCATCATAATAGTCGCAGAATTCATCATCATCATCATCATCATCATCATCATGATCATCATACCTGTTTAGTCTCCTCGTATCTGACTATCAACACTGGGTGGTCAGACTCATTCATTAGTTTCTCCCAAGAGAACATCGTCAAACCAGGAGCCCCAGGCAACTACAACACATTGTAAAAGTATATTCACATATTATCAGCTAGGGATAATCACGTATCATTCCATTTATTAATAGACATTAAGGTATACGCTAGACTAACAGCTAGTCTCTGAAATGAACATATTTTAAAGAAAATAAAAGTTTTACTTTAATATCATATATCAATAAAAGGAGCTCAGGGACTTTCTTCATTTTCAGAGTGGAAATCTAGACTTGCCACATTTTCTAGACTTGCGTGGGCTTTCTTGGATATATTTGCTTCAGGGTCTGTATGACACACTAGGTACACACCTTACATGTATTAAGAAGCAGTGTTGTGTATCGTTGGAGGATACAACAATATCCCTATCAACACATTAATGAATAGTGGAGATCCACAGCCTGATCAAACCCTAATCGATCAATCCGAAAATCAATCAATTGCAATCATACCGATATCTTATTGTAAAAATATCACAGGCCGCATGAGGAATGTATACAATTTCGATTTGTTTGATTTCGCTAACTTACTGAATGACAATCTTTTAAAAATCATATCTTCGCCCACTCTAGCCCTCTGAACAAAAAACCTGGGGATATGCCTTAATGGCTCACTTCTGAACGACTTTTCAATCGAACCAATACCGGGAAAGTGACACTCGGAATGTCTTTTCTGATCAGGCAATCTCCAAAAGGTGAGGTTGGTTGGTTGGGTTGTTTGAGGCCGCACTCAGCAATATTCCAGTCTAGTCCAGACCCGATTATTATAGCTGCAATATTGCTGCGCGCGGCGTTAAACAACACATTAATCAACAAACAAACAAAAATAAAGCTGGAATACCGCGTGCAGCGTTAAACAAACAAAGAAAGACAGAAAGATATCAACAAACCCTTTCCTTCAGCCGAAGCTACCAGATATTCATCAAATCCCATCATTGTACCTTTCGCTATATAGTTAGAGGTAAGAACAAATTGAGACACTAGGACGTCCCTGGGGTCTCTCATCAAATAGATAATCTTAGTTTTCTTCTTCTGCACTTGTGCTGGCATTAAGTGAAACTGGACATGTGTGTTGAGAATCCTTGGTGAAGGGAGACAACTCAGAACCTCTTCCGGTTGCAATTCTAGTGTCTGAGACTCCTTTTCCTTAGGACTAATTTCCGCTTTTCTTCTCAGCAACATATGGACCAGTTCAAAGGTTAAATGTGTTCCTGAAAATATGAAAGTAAGTTAAACGCAGTTGATACTTTGATTTCCACATCCTCATCTTTAACTACAGTAAAACACGGATATAACGAACTCCAAGAGACCAAGAAATTTAGTTTGCTATATCCGTTGTTCGTTATTCACATTTGACCGCCATCTTGGATTGTAGAGATGGAGAGACGTGTATATGCTGAGGCTACAAATCTTTATTCTTGTACATGTACATTGACATAACACTTAGTGTTCGGTGGAAGGAAGACCAGTTTGACGTGTGTCAGGTGTTTCACAACAGGATGGGCAGGACAATTGTCTACAAACATCAGGATCTTACGTTTTGTCTCGTCATACTCTTTTCCAGGTTTTTATCCACTCTGTGAATACTTCACCAGTCATCCAGGCCTTGGCATTTGATCTGTACGTTACTGGCAAACTGCGTACATTTTGAAGCATCTAAGCTTTGCTGACTTCCCTGTCACTAACAACTTAAGTGTTTCACTTACTACCTGTTAGATGATGGATTTCTTCCCACGCCATTACACATCAATAATCGTAAACTCGTACAGGTTCCTATGAATTAACTGAGGAGTCCTGAGACCAGCATTACTTCGGTGTTTTTTTTCCACAAAGAGCCTCCTGGCCTTGAAGTATTACTGGAATACTATTCAAGGGAGCGTTAAACCCACTTACTCTTTCTGTCGCTGTATTCTTTTGCTTTTGTCAAAACCACAAAGATGTGGGATCAGCATGACAAGATTCTGGCTTTGTACCCATCGATTAATGCAGGACAGATTAAGTATAAATTTTGATTTAATGCAGTTTTGACATGTACCTGATCTTGCGTGGCCACACAGCAGCACATCGTCGTCACGGATGTTGACATTGGAAATGTTCTTCACCGTTTCCCAGTTGAAACTGGGAGGAAAGTACGTTCCATCTACGTCCAGGAGAGTGTAGGGGTTTCCTTTGCAGTCCAATAACTTTGTCAAAGGCATCTTCACCTTGGTACCTAAGATACCAACAATATTTAAATACAGTTGTCCTCTGTTGTGTATTGGCATGGGTGTGACCATTAAAAAGAGAGAAACTGTATTTGAATATACAAATATAGGTTGGCAATAAGTGAACGTGTCATATATATATACACATTAAAACCCGGTGAAGATTCGGGTTAAGATTGGCCTTCGTAAGAGGTTACTAACGGAGGGTCAGGCTAGCTGACTTGGTTTGACACATGTCAGCGTATCCCAATTGAGTAGATCGTTGCTCATGCTGTTGATCGCTGGATTGTCAGGTGACGATTCGATAATTTACAGATCGCCGCCATGTAGCTGTAGTATTGCTAAGTGGCGTTGAACAACAAACAAACAGACATTAAGTAACGTAGATTGTTTAGGATAGGACAAAACAAGATCGTAAGAGTTGGTAAATCATCGTGGGGAATTTGCAAATGATATATGTGTCACGTCACACACGACCGGAATGTGTAAACCAAACCATACACACGGGTTGAAAGAGGATACACAAAACCATGCACCCGAGGTGTACAGCTGACACCAGGTGTCATCAATTAATTTCAGTGGACCATTCATATAATTGTTATACCCATTTTGACCTTTATATTAAATGGTGTCAAACAGTACAGGAGGACACCATGAAGGAAAATCCCTTGTCGTCAGCAATCAGTTCATAGGTTTCCACCATTACACTGAAGTGCTGTAAAGTTGGGTTTTTAAAAAAAATATATTTTTTAATTTTTTTATTCCATTTCAAGTCTCAGATGAAATGCATATGACATAAAAGACAATGTATATATATATAACATCAGTGGTGTTTTGTAAGGTTATAACAGATATATAGGTACATAAGATATCATTAAAGTTTCTGTAGAGGGCATATACAATATATAATTGGAGGGATAAGGTTGAATAGTGTGATTGTAGTGAGTGGGGTCTGGAAATACAGCTGATATTATAAGTAGAGTTCAATGCTTAGCACATAGTAAGGTATATACATGTTTCCACTTCCTTATACAGGGATCTAAGCTATTGTTTTTCCTAGCTATATATTTTTCAGTTGTACATATATCTTTTAATAACTTAAGAAATCCCTCAAGGGAAAGTGCTTGTTGTTTTATACTTGAAACGTAAATGAATCTTTTGGCAAGAAGTATAATATGATTTAGTATTTTATTGTTTGAGTACACTCCAAACATGATAGTGAATTTTGTAAATGTGACATTACACTGGAGGTGGGTATTTAGAAATTGTGCTGTAAAGTTTATTTCAAGTGGAAACTGTTTCGGTAGAAAATCGAGCCTGGTTTTTCTCTGGTGTTCAGGCTTTTTAAATAACTCAAACCATTGTGATTAGAAATGTCAATTAACATATTCTCACTAAATAGTTGGTAATGAGTAGATCCCAGACAAAATCTTAAAAAGTTCAATTAAGTCAGGGTCTGGTTTAGAACGGAGTCGCCATTATTCAGAGATGTTAGAGATGCTACTCCTTAGAACACCGAAGTGTCAGTAACAGGTTCGTTGTTGAAGAGACATGTGATGGCAATTGTGACGTCGTAGTAATAGTAATAGTAATAGTCCGCTTATATGGCGCTCATATCCAGGCACAGTGCCTGCTCACGGCGCTACGTACATTACTATCCCCGGTCATAGGACACTATCGTACTTTCCGATACTTTTTCAACTCCCTGGGGATCATACAGGCGTCGTAGTAAGTGAGTTAGTAAGTTTAGCTTTACGCCGCACTCAGCCATATTCCAGCTATATGGCGGCGGTTTGTAAATAATCGAGTCTGGACCAGACAATCCAGTGATCAACAGCATGTGCATTGATCTACGCAATTGGGAACCGATGACCTGTGTCAACCAAGGCAGCGAGCCTGACCACCCGATCCCATTAATCGCCTTTTACGACAAGCATGGGTTACTGAAGACCAATATTCTAACCCGGATCTTCACGGGTATGTGACGTCGTAGACTATCCACAGCCGATCTACCAAGCTATATTGACTCGCATAACATTACATTATCCACCATCATCGTCCCTGTCTTGTTCAGACATAATTGGACAATTTGGGAGACTCTGTGATGCATGTATTAATCCAGCGCCACCTAGGGTCCTACAGACAAGACTGCAACTATTAACATCGGTTGTCCATCATTGACAAAATACGCGTGCAGTGTGTACGCACATTAACTATGGTATCAACAAACGCATTAACTATGATCAACAAACGCACATGATGCGAATAACGCTATGATTTTAAAGCTATTGTAATTACGTCTCAACATATATATATATATATATATTTGAATCCTATTGTAATATCAGTGAACGAATAGCGTTATAATTTATAATTTAAAAATGTTAACGCTAATGCAAATAAGTAACAATCTTAAGATTTCAATTAAGATATCAATTAAACCTATTGTAATATTAATGAGCGAATAACGCTATAATTCTTAATGCTATTGCAATTAAGTCTCAATATTAATATAGCTATTATAATTTTTATTGATCATATTGTAATATTAATGAACCAATAATGCTATAGTTCTTAATCCTATTGTAATTAAGTCTGAAAATTAGAGTCAGCAAAAAGTATAATCATCCACTGTACGTTTCAGATCAGCGGTCTTTACAAATGTTTAGGCTGATACCAATATTTACCGTGAATCTCCCACATTGCCATATAATGATCGCGTTTTCAATTCTGGTCTTTACGAAAAGCGAAATATAAGCGATAAAACATTTCAAACTCATTCAA